TGTGTGTGTGTGTGTGTGTGTGTGTGTTGACATGTTAGTGAGCATGTATTTACCATGCAGCAGCAATTTTCTATCTTGTCTTATCTCGTCTCCCCAGGTATGGCCCCAAGGTCCAGTGGTGTTTCCAGATTTTCTGAAAAAAGAAGTCAACGACATTTGGGCAGAACTGATTGTAGATCACAGCAAACAATTAACTTTTGACGGACTTTGGATTGTAAGTTTCCCCATCGCTGGCAAGCTGTTTATATTATTATGTACTAAGCCCAGAGAGCAGAATGTTACATGAGAGAGAGAGAGAGAGAGAGAGAGAGAGAGAGAGAGAGAGAGAGAGAGAGAGAACCAGTTTCTTTCTTCAAGGAAGTGTACCTACATTATGCAGTTTTTCTTGCTTTTTACAACATTTTGAATTTGAATTTTGTCAAAATATTATTATTTCTTGAACACATGCAATTGATACCACAGATTAGGAAACTATGATATATTGTCCCTCTCCAACCACGGATACGAACATAATAAATTGTTTTTGTCTGTTTTATGTGTTTGGTGATATTAGAAGTAAATGTCTCATCTTTTAAAAGCAACAACCCGGAGGCATGAGAAAAAAATTCATACCATCATTGATACGAGTCATTCATTCATTGTCATCTGTGCGAGAATAGAACAATTGTATATTTTCATCCACTGACTATTTGTACCCTCCCAGCTCCCCCCCCCCCCTGGGTGGTTGGCGGGTGCTCTGGTGTGGTTTGCCTCTTCTTCCCTATCAAACATCTATCGTCTTTATACCCCCCTTCTTTTTTGTGTTTATTACTCTCTTGTAACACTTCCAATCTTCGGCACCTATATGACCTTATTGTGTTGCAAGTGTCGTAAAACTCTTATTAAAACTCAAACACCCCCACCCCTTCCCGCTCCCCGCAGGACATGAACGAGCCGGCAAGTTTCGGCACTAACGAGGAGCGTCCCTTCAACTGGCCTGAGAATGTCCGCCCTTACTGGAGCCTGCACTGTCCCGTCAACGCTTTGGATGACCCGCCATACCGCACCAGTACGTGGGAGCCTTCCATTCTTATACTAGCATTATATCCGTACATCGATCTATCCACAAATCCATCCATCCACCCTTTCGTCCACCCACCCACCCATCCATCCATCCATCCATCCATCCATCCATCCATCTATCCATCAATTCATCCTCCCGCTCGTCCATCAATATATCCATCCATCCATCCATCCATCCATTTATCTGTCCATCCATCCATCCATCCATCCATCCATCCATCCATCCATCCATCCATCCATCCGTCCCTCCATCCATCGACACCACATCCACGCATCCATTCATTCATCAATCTATCCCCTCATCCCTCCATCCCCCCATCTCTCCATCGATCCATCCATCCATCCATTCATTCAACGATCTATCCCTTCACTCATCCACCCATCCTGACCTCTCACTCCCTCCCAGAGGCAGCCTACCTATACGACTACGATGACGGGAGCCGCCAGGGTCGGCTGTCGGACAAAACCTTCTGTATGCACACGGTACAGGGGGAGGGCGGAGTCTACTCGCACTATGACGTACACAGCCTCTACGGCTACAGCCAATCAGAGAGCACGCTCAGGTAAGTGCGGACATATAGTATGTGCCAATCACAGACACGCTTAGGTAAGATGGGAATTATAAACCGACCAGGGAGCAGTGCGGAAATATAATATGAGCCAATGAGAGAGCACACTCAGGTAAGAAGAGAAATATTTCAAGTCAATTAGAGAGCACGCTCGGGAAAAAGGGAAATATGAGCAATTCAGAAAACACCTCAGGTAAGAGGGGAAATATGAGCCATTCAGACAATCTGTTCAGGTAAGAGAGGAAACGTGAGCGAATCAGAGAGCACGCTCAGGTGAATAGGGAAATATGAACCAATCAGAGAGCGCGCCCAGGTAAGAGGTAAAATATGAGCCAATCAGAGAGCACGCTCAGGTGAATAGGGAAATATGAGCCAATCAGAGAGCACGTCCAGGTTAGTGCAGAAAAATAAAAAGAATCAATCCGAAGCATTCTTTTGGTTGTTCGAGGATGTCACCGGTATGTCCTGCTTTTTTACTTTCGCTCTGCCGTTTCTGTCTGTCTGTTTTCCTCTGTCCCAACCATAAAAATGACCACAATTTATTTTTGTGTCGCCGTGCTTCTGATTACTCCAACAACGTTAAACAAGAGGAGATGCTCAGATAAGTACGGAAATATTACGTGAACCAATAAGAGAGCACGCTCACTTAGGGAAATATAGTTTTCTAATTGCACTGTTCAAGACAACCGCCTGTCCAGGACAAGGAGGCAACAGCTTTTTAAATAAAATTAGTAAGAGTTTTACGGCACTTGAAACACAATAAGGTCAATTTTCACAATTTCTTCTTTTGTTTCAACGAACCAACATCCCCCCTCCTCCCCTTTCTCTCCTCCCCCTCCAAAAACTGCCCAAACCGCTGTTTGCTGTGTCCAGGGCAGCCCGCCAAGCCACGGGACAGCGGAGTATCGTCATCAGTAGGTCAACATTCCCTGGTTCCGGTCGGTATGTAGGTCACTGGCTGGGAGACAACGAGAGTGCCTGGAAGGATCTCAAGACTTCCATCATAGGTTGGTCTACCACCTCATAGGTTTTTTTCCCGATTTTCCCTTGCTTTTCTGCTTATTTACTTATTAATTCATTCCTTAATTCATTCCTTAATTCATTAATTAATTGATTCATTCACTCATTCATTCAGTTATATGTATGTATGTATGTATTTATTTATTTATTTATTTATTTATTTAGGTAGGTATGTAGGTAGGTAGGTATGTAGGTAGGTATGTAGATATGTAGGTAGTTTATTTATTTATTTATTTATTTAGGTAGTTAGCTAGTTAGTTACGGGAGAAGGGTGACTTAAGTTTATAGATAGATCTAACACGCTTTCCCAGCTGTGTCCAAGTTTAAGTATGGTAAGGCGAGAAGTGTCCTCGAAATGTATTTTTGGTTAGATGCCGTAAGAGGTTTGGTGGACGTGAGAAAGGTGTGCAAGGTTAAGTTAGTATTTTGTATTGACAAGGTAGTGTATTCTCTGCATACGTTTTGTGATTGTGTTTGTCTATTACATTGGTTTGAATTTCATTTCAAGTTTGTTGGCCTACCATTTGATTAGTTTTCGATTTTCTCTCGGACTTGTCTTTTTATTGTTTTAATTTTTTTTCTTTTTAATTATTATAATTACTTTTTAATCAATTAATTA